TTTTCAGGTGAAAATGGGAAATCTGAACTTTTCTCTGGGCAGAGTAGAGTACGACAGCCAGACACAGTCTACATTTCCTCAAGAGGCTCAGGTGGGAGTCGGTGTTGGAGCATCCATAGTGGCTCTCATTGTGCTCATCATAGTGCTCATATACAGGTAAACATGTTCAATTCACTGAACATCAGTTTCTCATTTGATCAACATATTGGTTGGTTTTGGCTGTAATATTGCCTTTTCATCATGGCTTGTGGGTCAGGAGAAAGAGCAAACAGGCCATGAGGGACTATAAAAAAGTCCAGATCCAGCTGGAGAACCTGGAGACCAGTGTCAGAGACCGCTGTAAGAAGGAGTTCACAGGTAACTTCCTCTTTTTCTTCTGGACTTTTAGAGAATACGTCTCCTTAAAGTTAGACTAAACCAAGACCTTTATTCTTTTTTTAGACTTGATGACAGAGATGATGGACATGTCCAGTGATTTGGTGGGCTCTGGGATTCCCTTCCTGGATTACCGAACGTATGCTGAGCGTATTTTCTTCCCGGGGCACCAGGAGTCCCCACTGAGACGAGATCTGGATGTCCCAGAGAGTCGAAGGCAAACGGTTGAGCAAGGGCTGATTCAGTTGTCCAATCTGCTGAACAGTAAACTTTTTCTCACTAAGGTAAGCCTCCACAGCTGCTTTTTTAAAATCTGTGTTTATTTATTTATGCCGCCTACATTTGCCAAGCAAGCCCCTTTGCAACCCACAGAATTGTTGGTTCTATTTGGCTGCTACTACTCTTCAATGTCAGCCTTATGTGCATGCAATAGAAGGATGGGGAGGTCCCATACTAGAGATACAGAGCTATTCTGCCAAGGTTTACCTGGTCTCGACAGAAACGAGGGAGATTTTTCACACACAGATTAAGTAACTCCATATTCTCACCTTTTTTGTTTTTCTAGTTTATTCACACTCTCGAGGTGCAGCGGACCTTCTCCCCCAGGGACCGGGCCTACGTGGCCTCTCTGCTGACTGTCGCTCTGCACGGTAAACTCGAGTACTTCACAGACATCCTGAAGACGTTGCTCAATGATCTAGTGGAACAGTATGTGGCCAAGAACCCCAAACTGATGCTGAGGAGGTGATGGCGTTTTTTAACCTGTCCTAGTTGGCGAGTAGGAGATGTTTTTCATCCACGGATCATTTACATGTGTCTAATTTTTTTTCCTCCCCAGAACTGAATCAGTTGTTGAGAAGCTGCTGACAAACTGGATGTCCATTTGTCTCTTCACGTTTCTGAGGGTAAGTTGTTTTAAGGTTGACCAGACATTAGCTGGTTAGACACTGGCGCCAGCATCAGTGAAACATGACGAACATCAGTTACTACTATAGTGTTATTTGAAGTTATAAAAAAGAACATTTTTACTGTCTCTTTACTGTGAAGTTTTTATGTTGGGAAAATGTTTTAAGAACCTAAAAAGGGGGAAAATCTGCTAAAATTGAAACATTCATTAGTTTATATTTTTTGTAAAAAAAAAAAAAATCAATTTGATTTATTTAATTTTTTTTAACCCTTTAAGGGGTATAGTTGGTGGAGCTTACCCTTCCTCTTCCTCTAAAAGACAGTGTTAGGGTTTTATCAGAAAACCTTTTATGTTCAAAAAGAGAAGATAATTCTTGTTCTAAGAAATAAAGAAAAAAAAAATCAGACTAAAATAAACTAATAAAAAAAATCACACAATGGTGTGTACTATTCTCTTCACAGTATTAAAACTGGCTTTAATTTCTTTTTTAAAGAGCAATGGGAGTTTAGGCTAGTTTGGCTAGTTTGAGGCCTGACGGTTCCTCAACAAGCAGTGTCGTTAAATAGTACCCATAGCGTAACATAACAGACCATACCGTGGGAACACACAAGTGCTTGATGCTAAAAACTTCATCTTCATATGATTAGATACTCCAATAAATGTTGCAAATAAGCAGGAAGGAGTGCTAACTGCAGCGCTGCATGAATGTGCTGTCAGTTGTTGAATTATAACATTAAAACACTTCATTATAGGAGGAACAGATGCACTGTATTTAAAGCACATTTCACAGAAAGTCAGTGGAGATCAAATGTCCAGTAAGACAGTGTGACTGATCAGAAGTGGAATACCACTTTAATGAATGAATTCTTCATGCCTGGCCAGGAATCAGCAGGGGAATCTTTCTACATGCTGTTCAGAGCAATAAAGCACCAGGTGGATAAGGGACCTGTGGACGCTGTGACTGGAAAAGCCAAGTACACACTTAACGACAACCGACTCCTGCGAGAGGACGTGGAGTACCGCACACTGGTTAGAACACACACGTCCTTTGATTGCAGCATTATTAATGTTGGAAGGAGAAACCCATGTTTTCCTGTTTGGTTTATTATCATATGCTGATATTTAACTTAATAAGCTAAGTACGTCCTTACTGTTTCCACAGGAATTAAGAGATTAATCAAATGCCTACACATCAACGTGTTGATGATTAATTTGTCATCAAGACGTGAGAACCTTTATAAAAGCAGATTTTTGTCACTTTGGTCTGGAGCATTCAGGGTTGCATAAAAACAATACAACAGTCTTACCAGGAGTGGGTGTATCAGGAAAGAATGGTCAGACAAGCTTGAACAAAATTCAAGAGCTCCTCAGTTTAAAGTTGATGACAGTACAGTTAGAAACAGAAACAGTACAGTTAGAAAAAGGATGAATAAGTGTGGCTTATTTGGAATTCCTGCCAGAAGAACGTCAAATTGGGTCATGTGACAGGACAATGCTCCCAAACGCAGCAGCAAATCAGCTACAGATTGGATGAAAAAGACAAGAATCAAGATGTTGCAGTAGCCTAGTTGAAGTCCAGACATCAACCTGATTGAAGTTGTGATGGGGCCTTAAGAGAGAGCGATGCATGGTAAAATACCCACTAACCTCAAAGACCTGATGTGACAGTGGGACAAAGTGTCTTAATGCTTAAACTGATGACATTTTATGTTATTGTTGCTAAAGGTGGTTTACAAGCTACTGAGTAATGGGGTGTGCTTTTCACATAACTTTGACATCTTTAAAATAAAACATGACTAAAATTAATGTAAACATCAAACTGTTAAGATTTAAGCTTAAACAATTTAAAGTCAAACCAGTGTGGATGGTTGCACACAAGTGAACACTCAAACACTCCTCCAAAGTGCCGTGTGTCCTACAGTGTTATCTTTTTATCCATAGCCAGCATTTTTGTACATGTGTCCAGACTCTAAATGTGGTGATGCCAGCTGCAGCTGCCAGCGGCGGCACCACAGCGCAGACGGTTCCCGCTAAGGTGCTGGACTGCGACACCATCACACAAGTAAAAGAGAAACTTCTGGAACAAACCTGGAAGGGAACATCTTTTTCTCAGCGGCCGCACATCGACTCGTTACATCTCGGTGAGTCAGATTCATTTCACAACAGCATAACTCTTTCTTGTGTTTCAGTCTTCTCTTATGTGAGCATTTTAATTATAGAGATGAAGATGTTTTTATGTGTGAAGTGCATAAAAGAAAACAAAACAACTGTCATCGAGTCAGTATTTAAACATTAAACAACCTCACCAGTCATCTAAACAACACTCAGTTCTGGTTTGACAACTTCTAAATCTGTAGAAACCAGTGTATAATTACATCTTCCAACAAATTCATACATTGTGATAAACCTAGAATTAATCCATAAAAATTAATAGGAGTGGAAGCTGCCGTATTGCTCTTCCATCTTGAATACAATGGTCAAGATGGACATCGCCACTGCAACGAGCACGTTTCATGCGTGTGACCAGCCACATACGTAGTACATCAAAGGTGGAGGAAAAGAGAACTTGGAGGTATTAATGTGCCATAGAAGTCAAAACACTTTAATTAATGTTTGTGCCTTTGGACTCAAGCTATGAAGGATCATACCTGTTTCATCATCAGAGAAATGAGTGAAATGCCGAAGGAAAGAGACAACGCCACAGGCATCTTAATAAAATGTCATCACCTGAGCAGACGTCAGGGCTCTAACACACAGAAATGTGCAACAACATGCTAATTTATTCCTGATATTGTCAGCAGATTACACATCTGACCCTCCCGTCTCCAAACAGCTGCAACACCCGACTAAATAGCATCAATAGCTGGTTATAGGATAATATTATTCCAGCTAATGTTAAGCTCGAGTGGCCCGAAAATCACACTTTCCATCTGATAAACAGTTTGAGTCATTCTCACACACTCAAGTCAGCAGTGTTAGATCCATTTGACAGACACGTTCAGGGTATCGTCAGCAACTTCTCAGTATCTCTGTCATCAGTGAGAGGTGAATGTCACTCGCTCATCAACTCGTATCTGTTTAAATTTTACAGCCTGTGCCAGAGTAAATAGACATGGACACATTGACAGTTGAGGGAAACAGGAGACTGGCGGCCAGAGATGTTTGTCTGCTGTTCATCTGTAATCTGTCACTGCCTGCAGTCAGTGACACATTACAGTCACTGTAGGTAGGATCATGCATTTGAATTGGTGAGGGGTAAGAAAACCAAATTCAGCTGGCTGTATTCTGCAATCCACTGGTGTGTAGTTGTGACATTTTACACAGTGCACCTTTAAACAAGCAAAGCTGCCAGCTGGTCTACCAGATTCAACCTAGGAAATAACATCTGTGGATGTGTGGTCCCTGAGGGTTTTCGTTTTTATCAATCCTCAAAGTTTACTGTCTTAATTCTGCAGCTGTAAGCACAAGCTCAAGGTTACCTGAACATTTCTCCCTTCAGAGTGGCGTGCAGGTGTTGCAGGTCACCTAATCCTATCAGATGAAGACCTGACATCAGTAGTGCAAGGTTCATGGAAGCGCCTTAATACACTGCAGCACTACAAGGTGAGTGCTGACATCACACAAACACTGATACACACACACACACACACACACCTCAACTCATTAAAGTGTTGGAAGCAGTTTTAACCACATTGTGAATGTTGTCATGTGACTGTGTAATCAGGTCCCCGACGGAGCGACAGTGGCCCTTGTTCCCAGAAACAACAAACATCACCTTCACGACAGCCACGATTACATGCCAGGAGAGAGTAAGTTCATTATTATCTGTTACCCCTGTGTTGGTATTATGGTTATACATTGCTGTCTGTATGTAGACAACTGCATCTAATGGCAATGGTTGGCGACCTTCATTCAGACATGTGTTCTCTGAGCAGATGAACTCAGTCTAAATAACCAGAGGAGGGCGCTGTTTGACTGTTTATGCATATCCTATTTTACAGTGGCCGTGACTTAGGTGTGAAGATGAGTTTGTGGGGGGAATAAAAGCTGTAATAATGAACAAAAACCTCAGTTGTTCACTGCGTGCAAACACTTGAAACAAAGACAAACAGCTCAAATGTAGTGACCTGTTTCTCACCTACCCATCCAACTGTTTGTCCCCTCCTACCAGAGACCCCTATGCTGGATGATGGGGAAGAAGGAGGCGTGAGACTGTGGCATCTGGTAAAAGCCAGCGAGGAGTCTGAGCTGCCCAAGCACAGGAGAGGTAGTGTGAGGGAGAAGGGTGGGGAGCGAGCCAAAGCGATCCCCGAGATCTACCTCACACGCCTGCTCTCCATGAAGGTAAAACACATGGTCTGAATGGGGACAAACAAGGTGGTCACTCACTAATATCTTAATAGGTTTTGTATATTTAAATTGAACACACATCAGATGGTACTTATATCTCTTTTTTATTTTTCATAAACAAAACGTGTTACTGAGTGTTATTCAAGTTTGTGTTGCCTCCAGGCAGCAGAGTGAACAGCTGGGAACACCAAATGTAGTGGTTTTGTTGTGGATTCTCCACAGTTGATATACAAATATGAAATGAGTCAGCAGCAAGAAGGTGTGATGTGCAGAGACATGACATACATGTTCACAATAGAGATGCCACAAAACCCTGCTGCACTCGGTCCAATCCAACAAATCCAAGTTTTTTCATTTAGAGATTACATAATTGAAAAACATAATTGCTCATGTTTCATATTTTCCTTATGAGCCAGCCAACACTGAGTATGTGAACACGGTGGCCTTCGTGACTATGGCGTGGTGCTATTTTGAGCTCACGTTTTCACAAAGAAACCTTTGTCAGTTAGGAACCAGCATGAGTCTAAATTATTTAGAGCTCATGAAATATTTATATTTATAATGTATGTTGACCCAAGACGTTATGTAGTAATGATGAACAATGAATAAACTGGCAACACAGTGGATTTAAGATGCATGTCGGATTATGCTGAAAGACAAATGTCAAATAAATATTTGGCTTGTTTTTGCCGTTGCTATTACATTAATATTTAATTGAACATATTTCCATAGTTTCATGTCAGCGGCTCTGGCATGTAACCACCCCTTTTACACAAATAGCATCCAGCTTTGGACCTCTGCACACCTTGAATGTGCATGTGAGGAGCTGCTACACTGATGCATCAAAAAACAAGCGGAAGAAGAAAGGATTTCTTTTTTCCTTATCACTGTGATACTGTCACCGCGGGTGCATGACTGACGCCTCTCGCTCCATGTGATCTCCCTGGCGACCCTGAGCTAATTAAAGGTTTAAGAAAATAGATGATTGAAGTGAGGATAAGATGACCAGACAAAATACACAAACTATATATTTCATAAGTTGCAATGTATGACTGTGCTGCTTACTTGCAGAATTGTTTCAAGAATTTATAATTGTCCATCCATGATGGGAGACTTTAAAAAGTCCCCAAACAAACAAAAATAAAAATCTATTTGTCAAATTCTGTACATTAGAGGTCAAAATAATGCACACTCAGTTATAGATTTAAAGCTCAAGAAACTTGGGATCCTGTATTTCCTACAATTCACTGTTTCACTATTAAACATAACCTGAAGATGGTCAGAGCCCCTGTGACATCATCAAACTCACTGGTTTACAGCATGTTTCTTTTGGTTTTTTTGTGTGTGGAAAAAAAAAACGTATTTCATTAAATAGAAACTTCCATTAATTGAACGCCCTGCATATTCATCCCAGTGTGCCGGTTTCTTATTTTTGCACCAAACACCATGGTGCATTATCCCATGGACCATTAATATAGAATCTTATTCATTAAATATGACAGAAACTGCTCAGTTCAGACAGGTGCCTTAAGGGTCAGTCCTCTGGGCTTTCAAGGGGTAAAGAGTTAAATCCAAATTGAGAAAACCCCCTGTGACATTGGGATGGGAAAAAATAGACGCGGGCTTGTTCAGAGCCTCAGGAAATGCTACATAACTGTTAGATGACACATGTACCTTAACTTAGCTTCATGTGCATAATCTGTGGAGTGCCCCTTCAAAGAGAGCATCCCCTCTTTGTTTCATGGTTTATTTATTTCTGTCGCTTTCTCTGCTCTGTCTCAGGGCACTCTGCAGAAGTTTGTGGATGATTTATTCACCGCCATCCTCAGCACCAGCCGTCCTGTACCTCTAGCTGTCAAATACTTTTTCGACTTGTTGGATGAGCAGGCTCAGCAGCACAACATCATGGACCCGGAGACCATCCACATCTGGAAAACCAACAGGTAACTGGGTGAAAGATGCTTATATTGGGTTTGGATGTTGAGAGGCAGAGTTGGAAGCCAGGAATGGGTCATGGGCCGTGAGACATATGAAACGCAGCATAGATATGCTTCAAGGGGAATTTCATCCGTCCAGAGATTGAAGAAGCACCCCACACAGAACATATGGACAACAGCTGGTTTTATGGTGTTACTGTACTAGGACTTTACTTGAAGATCTTGTGGAAACAGCAGAGATTTGCCAGGGCTTGCCAGGGCTTGCCAGAGACTTATTAAACTGCTTGTGACTTTGAAGCAGTTGGTTGATACACGAGGAATATATGACATCTTAGATTTTGTCGCCTTTCTATACATCACTGCTATGTGGGTCTTCCGGGGAAACCCATTGTCACTTACTGACAGTGGGTCCACCTGCACTTGGCTGCATCTTATTTGTTTTCTATGTACTTGTAAAGAGCTCACCAGAAAAGTGGTGATGATTTCTCAGACCATTCACCTTACATATTGTGAATAATGACAAATAAATATAAAAAGGACACAAAAAGAAGTGTAAGTATGTTTGTCTTATTGGTGATAACAACCATTCCTGTGTGTTTACCATGTTTCTCATATTTTAAACTCTCTAAAAAGGCTGAAAGTGTATTTTTGTGCAAGCTTGTTAATGCGATTACTCAAGGATGAGGTGATTATTTATATGTGTCCTTTCTTTAAGGCTTATCTAGTCAGTCATAATATGCATAAATGTTATGGCTGCTCTTCATTGATTCATGCCGTAACCAAACCTCCTCAGAGCAGTTAGTTTAGACATCACGTGAGTTTTGCGTTTTCACCACATTCCAGATACACGAAACCAAAAGGCCCAGGACACCAGAGTGTGTTAGAATCAAACAAAAGGGGTAGAAGCACCAGTAAAGAACCTGCACTTTTTTTTCTGCATAAGAGGGGATTAGAAGCATTTTTTAAAATCTGATGTATAACTGTACTTTTACATTACAATCACTGCTTAAATGTGTAAATGTTTTCTTGCCTTACCAAACAGCTTGCCACTGCGGTTCTGGATCAATATCCTGAAGAACCCGCAGTTCATCTTTGATGTGCAGACGTCAGACCACGTGGATGCTGTGCTGTCTGTCATAGCTCAGACCTTTATGGATTCTTGCACCATAGCTGACCATAAACTGGGACGGGTGAGCTTCATTTGTAAAGGACAAATATGAGACACTTACAGAGGGAAGAAAAATAACCTTTTGGCTAATTCTGACACATTGACATTGATTTGTAGATTAATATGCACTGTCCTTTTTTTAAAAAAAAAAAAAGAAAAAAGAAAAAAAAAGAATTTGAATTAGATTTTAACTTATGTCCTTCTGTGTTTGTGAGCCCTGTGTTAATTATGTATGTTTCATTTTAAGATGGTCCCAAAATTAGATTCCAGAGAATGAAGCAATTATATCTGCTGTGACCCTCCTTGCAGCATTGCTGTGCACACTTTTTGTCTTCATAGCACTTCAGTGTCGTCCCCATAGTGGATGTGAGAGAGGCCTTTCATTACTTAGAAGTTAACCAGGGTCTCTTTTTACCTCAGAGACGATAACACACCTTGTTATTAGTGTGCTGTTTGTTGGGCGCCTTTTTCTGTGGAGCATTTTCTTAGACTGTCTCACTGTGGACATTTCAAAATCTTTAGAGATGTAAAAAATACTTTTTTCTAAGATCCAAAGATCCTGTGTCTTAATCCTGCAATATACAATCCCACACTTTCAAACTGTGAAGGTCAGAGGGTTTCACACCTGATTAATTCACAGCCGACTCTAATTAAACATAAAGGAGCATCGTATAGTTTTCCACAGTACATAAATAACCAAATCTAATAGTCTGGGCTGGGTTTTGTCTACTTAAGACTTAACACATAATATGTAGCAAGGATCAGATATTACACATCATCTCATGTGTAATAGGAATGTTTGATATACCTTTATTAGTCCCACAAGGGGAAATTTCATAAGGCTGCTGACCTATTGCACGCAATGGCGGTGCCATCTTACCCTCCGACCATACATACATTACACAAAACATCACATGGGGAAGACAGGTCAGAGAGGTATAACAATGGAAAATGCACCACATGAGGAAAGATAAGGAGAAAAAAATAACTCCCCTCAGACTGAGCTCCAACATGGAGATCAGTTTGAGAACAGAAAAAAACACCTCTGCACATAGCACATGAAAAAAACTCTTAATACACCAAAGAAACACATGACAGGCAACAGGGGTGGGTAAAGGGTGAGAGACAGCCGAATTAAACAGTACATCCGGGCCTGCGTGCGCTGGTCTCCTTGATCCCCGTCAGCATCGGAAGGGAATAAGCGTCGAAGGTGTTTGGAAAGGGAGGGGGGATGAGTGTGTGCATATCAGTGTATATGTATGTGTGTGCGTGTCCAGAGTTCAGCTGAGACAGTCTAATGAGCCCTGCAGCCTTGTTTGGTACCCAGTACATGCTGACATCAACAAAATTATTTGTGCACATTATTACTCCTTGTTTTACATGCCTCGTTACACTTATGTGACATCTGTCTTCCTTACGCAGGACTCTCCTATCAACAAGTTGCTGTATGCCAGAGACATCCCCCGCTACAAGCAGATGGTGGAGAGGTAAGAATATGGCAGCCGGTCGTCCCACTGACCCCAGGCATAAAAAACACTCTGGAAGAGAGAGGAGGGAGGGGCGGAAGGAGAGAGTGAGGCCCAGGACGATCTGTCAGCGCCAGACAGAGGGTAGACTAAGCCCGCGAGGCTCCATGCATGGATGGTCTGAGAGCAGACTGCTACACTTACTACTACCTTCTGCACATTAAGCACGGCATGTCGCCCTGCTGAAATATTAAAGTGTTGCTAGACAAGATTTTAGGTAACACATGTGCTTGTTTTCGAAGCCTTATTAGCCTGATCTGCATTTAAAAAGGATCACTTCATCTTTCTCTACACGTTTTCCCCACTGATACACCATAGACTCATAATTTGTCATATTTTCTTATTTAAAATTAAACAAGTCAAAAATGAACTGACAGTAATCAGCGGAGAGAGTGGCGAGCTATTAGGGGTAAACATCTCTCTTGCATTTGGGTTCAAATTTCTGTAGATTTAATGTAAAAATCTGTGATTCCCTGTACCTCCAGGTACTACGCAGACATCCGTCAGACCATCTCTGCCAGTGACCAGGAGATGAACTCGGCCCTAGCAGAACTCTCTCGTGTACGTTACCTACTCTTGTTTTCCCATTTAGTCAAAGTAACCTTTTTTTACACAATGGCTGAACACATGAATACTTTTAGGACCTGGAAGATTCCATTTAGCTGGGAGAATGACAAGCTGGATGTGGAGTTTGAAATAAAATATGAATAGCAACCGATGCAGTTTTTAACAGCTTTCCACCGCTGACGTTTCTTCGCCTCTCTATTTTTACTCTCCCTGAACAGAATTACACTGCTGAGGTCAACTGCCTCGTGGCTTTACATGAACTTTACAAGTACATCAACAAATACTACGATCAGGTGAGTATCACAAAATTCCGCAAACATGATGCTTGCATTGCATAGTATGCTGTCAGGGGAGAGATTTACTAGTTGTGAGCTGACAGGGATTTCATGTAATCATTATTTAAAGAGCTGGCTATGTGCATATGTATGAACTGTCAGGAGTGTAGCTCAAGTTATTGATTGAAAAACTGATTGAATTCCCTGAAATATTTGGATGTCCGATCTCTGAAGTCCACAGTTGTCTCATACAAAACAGCATTAAATACTCAACAGAAACAGTATTTGCTTTTTGTAGTTCTTGTTATAATTTGAATCTCACATCCCATTCGCCAATATGAAATGGGCAGGGTTTACTCTCTGTATTGCAATCTATTTCCAGACAGAAATCAATATTTCAGGTTCACCACTAGGATCTGTCATGTCATCTGGTTTTTGTTTTTTATATATATATAGTCCCCACAAAGTGGAGTTTGTGGGGATAGGTTAATTAATTAATCCAAATTACCCATAGGTGTGAATGCGGGAGTGAATGTGAGCGCAAATGGTTGTCCGTCTCTCTGTGTTGGCCCTGCGACAGACTGGCAACCTGTCCAGGGTGTACCCCGCCTCTCGCCCTATGACAGCTGGGATAGGCTCCAGCACCCCCTGTGACCCTGAGATAAGCGGAAGTGAATGGATGGATTGATATTTATATATAGTCCTCCTTTCCTGACACATAGGATGATCACAGTGCACAACGCAGACTTAAGGTTTCATATTGTATTGCTCAAAATTAGTAACTGAGCCCATAAACTCACCAGGAAAAGTGTTTACTAAGGTTTCCTCAGACTTTCATTGAGATTTTGCAGCAATGTGATGTTAACTTATCTGCCGTTTTAGATGTGTCACACTGTACGCTCAAGGCTCCAGTCATAGAGGCTTAAGCTGGGCATACACTGCGATTTTTTTTCAGTCGCGTTATTCAGCTTCTGCTCAAACTGTACGATTGACTTGCAGGGGTTAGAAGTTCGTAGGTCACAATGCAGGGTCTCACACTATACGGCCCGATGCTCTGATGCAACCCGAGCGCTCACACTGTGCGTCCATAAAAATGAAGGTTATAACAGAAAATCTGTCGCTCACTCTCCCTCTCTGTCTTTCACTCACACAGACACACACCACCATCAACTTTACTAAATTGCTAATGAAAAACATTGATCAGGCAGCTGTGATTGAGCAGCAATGTAAATCCAACTATTCTCACGGTTGTTGTGGTCGTGATGATTTTGAGGCCACATCGAAAAGGCTCGGATGAGCTTTCCAAAGTTCTACAAGTGCCTCCATCGCTTGTGTCCAGATCACACGCTGCACTCCGTCTTTTTCACCGACGTTTATGTGTTTGCGCGTGCGCAGTGTGAACAGCTGCGGTGACGGGAGGTTTGAAATCCTCCCGACCAAGCGATTGATGATCGGGAGCTGGTCGTGACGTGTTAATCGCTTCTCGTTACCCCACATATACTACACGATGCACGACGCACGATGAAGGCCAAAATCGGGCCGATCACCAAAACGGTCGCACAACTGAAAAATCGGCTCAAAATGGGCCAAAAATCGCACAGTTTTAGGGACAAGTCCACAATGATCTGGCAACCACTGAAAGGAAAACTTGTATTCCCAACCAGTTGATTCAAACTTTCTTGGAACTGTTTTGATTCTAGTTCGATTTCCAAAGTTGTCTGTAGTTTGCATGGAAGAAGCCATCTTGTCTGCAAATGTGCACCCAGGAATATCCTTAAGTTGGGGTCTTCAACTACACTTGACTGCAGCAATCTGCTAGCAGCCAAAGCATGAGAAGCTTCTATAGGAGTGAAATCTTTTCAAGGAAGATAGCTCATTGCTCTAACTTTAATATGTTAAGTAAGAATTTTAATTGAACTCTTCTCACCTTCTATCAGATTATCACAGCTCTGGAAGAGGACTGCACGGCTCAGAAGATGCAGCTTGGATACAGGCTCCAACAGATAGCAGCTGCCGTTGAAAACAAGGTTACAGACCTATGATTTCCACGGCTGGGATAGACATTTGTGGAAAGTAACTTTCTTTGACATCTCCTTGGAAAAAAAGAAAACAAAAAGAAAACGTTTTTTCCCCCTAAGAAAAAGGACTATTTGGTCACATACTGTGATTCTGCTGTCATTTTGACAGACTAATTGTTAGTGAGGTGAGAGATGCTCATTGACACTGACCATGTTTCCTGTGCTGAATCGGTGTGCACAATTACACTCCTCTTTTGTCTCATTTTGGGAGCAAAAAGAGCGCCACATCGCTGAGGAGGGGGAAAATGTGAAACCGAGCACATCAAAACAAAGGAATTTCTTCTGAACCTTGGATTTCTGATGTTTAAGTCACCTAAAGGGAAATTAATAACAAAACAAAAGAGATCTTTTGGGGGGGGGGTTCCTCTTTCTTGATGGACATTTTTCAGAGTTACTGCACAGAACATTCCTGCCCCGAGTTTAAATGTAGATTTGTTGGAGAAAAAAGAAAATCTAAGTGTGCTGGAAGACAAAATAAAGTGGCAAAAGGGAAAAGGAGGATTTGACCTTAAACACCAACAGCTTTGGAGTTTTCTACCATGTTTTCTCAAAGTCTTACAATTTGATAATGACACTGTCAGTGGTCTAAGTTATCACGTATTGAATCTGAAGTATGTTTTCCTTCTGTTTTTACCTTCCTGAGATCAACCTTCCAAGTCTTACTCTGTTGTCATGTTCAGTTAGCTGTTATTGGATGGTTTACCTGGGTATATTTCATTTTTTAAGCTCGTCATTACCAGTTCTTTTACTGTAATTTGTAGCTGCTGCCTAATTTAGTTTAAAGCCAAGACTAATGTTTTATAAAAGCTCTCAATCTGCTTTTTTTTAAAAAAGATAACCTACAGCCTGGGGAATTTTCTTTTTTAGGTAACGTTTCACAAATTTTGTTGCATTTTGCAATCTTTGCTTTTATATGCAGACGCAAAGCAGTTTGACAAAGACATTTGTAGCTGACTTAAGAACAATCCGTCCGAAAGTCAAAGCTTCTACACAAGTTAAACTACATGCAGCAAAATTCATACAAGATCAAACCCGAACTTAACTAATAAAAGCAAAAATATTAAAAATAAAATGCACAAAAGAACTGAGGAACACTTTTAGAAATGTCAAATACTGGGGACATTTACTTTTGATTTTAAAGGTGTCTCATAGGTTGTTATAGAGAAGCAAAACAAATAAAATGTGGAATAAACTCAATGAATACTTGATTTGTACACTAAACTATGATGAAATCATTTTCCCTTTAAAGTCAGGTTGAATCTAACACAAGTTTTCTAGGGTCACTGTCTAAAGTACACAATTAAATAAAATTATTTATGTATTCTTTCTCACTCTGGCCCATCCTGCATAGATCAGCTGATTGTTGCGTCTGCCGTTCCAAACACGTTGCCAACCCTTAGAGTGCCCTCGGGTCACCAATCGATACACTGTCACCACATAAAATAGTAGAAAGGTGTTTCTCCCATCTCTGTTTTACTTACTTACTTTTTAATTTCCATTTATTGGCCATTATAAATCCTGACACCAACAAATCTGTAAATAGCTAATATTGGCTAACGACATCAGCTCGTTGATAAATTGGTTGGGCTCTACTTTATATATATTTTCAGAAAGACCTGTTTTTTCTTCTCTGTGGTCACATGACCACTGCTTAAATTCATTGTTTCAGGAAAAATATGTTTTCGCTGAATCTTGTTACGCTGATGAAGCAGCGTCAGTGTATGTGTAATTTTTTTTCCTTTACAAAAAGGGGGAAAAAAGCTCATCTCTGAGACTTATATCACACATTGTAATTGCCTAACAAAGGTGCCTGTTGCTCTGCCACGCCTCATGCGAGAATCCTTTTATTTCCCCAGTTTAATTTATTGTTTATTTATTTTATTGCATATGTTGTTGGATTTTTCCATACAGATCTATGAAACATTTATTCCCATCACATTCAGATGTTTTTTGGTTTGGTTTTTTTTGTACATCGAGTTGGATTTGAGTAGTTTCAAACTTCAAACTCAAATCCAGTTGTTCTCAGATGCTGATTATTTTTGAACATTTTGGACCCATTTTAAATGTTTCAAGGCAGTTATCTTGTAAATTTAAAAAAGCAAACAAACAGGATTTTTTGTTTTTACCATGCGCATTGTTGTTGCTTGTGTAAGCAAAGCTCAGTTCTGATGTTTGTTCTGTACATACTTTTCCTAAGTAATCATGACTTTAGCGTTCTCTAACCAACTGATAGGATGAACCTAACAACAGTTTAATGTGATGCAATAAACAGGTCCAGATGTTAACAGAAGTTTCATTTTTTGCATTATTAAATTTGTGTGTAAATATTTTTTGGAACATGAGTTAATTTTGACTTCTTTTGAAAGAAGGAGGATCTTGATGTGTTTTCCGGAGCAAATATTGTTCACTTGTACAGTTCAGTTTAATTCATGTCTAGTTCACTTCAAAGTGCCTTTATATAATTTGAGGTAAGGATCCTAAAATATTTCAAATTTTTTTAATATATGTGATTCTCTCCTCATTAAAACACTGTAACTGAACACCTCCGTCTATCCAGACGCTAGTGAGCCAGCACAATATATATATAGCAACTGGTAAAAATGGGCAAATGTAACTCAGGCAACTAACTAGGTACACCTTTCTTTTTCTTTTTCTTTATTTTTTAGTATGACATTTAAAGATGGTTATCACACTAAAACACATACTCTTCATTAGGTATGCTGATTTTTCTGGAACCAAAAGTTGCCATATTTACTGAAGAACAGCTGAAGTTAACGAGTTTTTATCTGCTGTTTAGTGTTAGTTAACAGATAAAATACTAGAATTTCACTGACTTCTGGGATTGTCATTTATCAGACAATTCCAATAAAATGCTCAAAAAAGGCACTAACAACACAAATACAATCAACAGGTTCAGTTTATCAGATTGATTTGGTGAAAGTAATGTCAGCATGCATGCTGCAGACACCTGTTGGTGCATTTTTACATGAAACGACCTACCCCAAACACCCCTAAGCCTCAACATACAGAGAAATGAGATACAGAAAAATATAGACAGAAATGCACTTGTTACAAAGACATTAATTGGCAATTAAGACGTGTAAAGTACAGTTAGACATTTTAACATGGAGCAGGCTGCAGGGACTGACTGGCTGTTGGTGAAACAGCAGGTTTTAGTAGTGTTAAGCTCCACTTTTAGTCCCAAACACTGTCTTCACCAAGTTTGTGGTAAACACTTGGGTCCATCCCTAGTACTCATGCAGTATTGTAGCAAAAAATAGGTCTCAGCCAACATGTCACAGTCCCATTTCCATTGCAAGATGATCTATTTCTAGAATGATAGCATTAAAACCTGGATGGATCCAGCTCACAGATCCAGTCCAGTTATTGTCACTGCTATTAGTTCGATCTGTCACTTTTTCTGTCTAAATGTTAAACAGGTGGCAGCCACAGGCCTTTGTTGGGAAGCTGAGTGTATCAAACACAGTATTATCATAGACTCAACAATATACAGAATGTATTTCATTTCCAGTGTTATTGACAGGACACGTTTTTTGTTTGTTTTTAAACAGCATCCCATCAGCACTGTGACAAGTCCCTGGTTCTTGATAGCGATTAGTGCAGTAGCTGAGTGTCAGCTCATATATTAACTGCTTCCTGTCATCAGTAATCCAGGATAGAGACTCCATATTTAGACGTCTGTAAATGTACGAGTATGAGCACCTGTCACATGCAGCTGGTAATGCCACACCATGCTCCACACAGAGATAACAGCAATAAGTATGACTGCTCAGATTATCAGTAAAAATATGAAGTATTTCTATATAAGCTGCCAGTCAGTGTGGTGTTTGTATGTGTTTTCTTGGGGCAGGCGGG